TGTTGAGTAAATAAAAATAAAAAATGTTCACGATAGTGTCACTCTTTTGTTATTTTACTTTTATTTATTGCTTTATTGTTACTTCTATTATCATTCTCTTATGCATCTTTTCATGCTCTCATGAGTGTTACGCTCTCGGAGTGCATTAATGTAAGAAATATAATAAATAAATGAAAGTTTAGTTTTGACTAGACACTCTTAATCAAACGGACGTGTTTTATTTAAACTCGGTGTCTGACAAATTCAGAAGTGGGATTTAAAATAAAGAGTGCAAATAATAATTTATTGGTAATAAGTGTAAACAGTTATTAATGAAAATAATGGATTCGAACACAATGGGAAATGCAATTGACTTGGATGATTTTCCTTCGGTAAAGGAAAGTAATTTGAAAACGCAATTGCATGAACATAATGATCAGGAGAAACAAAGTGTCGCCGATGTTAATACGGCAAACGAAAACACCACCGTTTTGGAATTGAAAGCCGAAGTATTGCGTCTCCAGCGGACATTGGAGTCATTAATACAGCCTATCAATGCGGTGGCGACGTCGATGCCGGAATTAAATGCGAATAAGTATTTTGTGCCGAATACTAATCTATATGCACCAAGTCAAACTACAACTACAACAGATACAGTGAGTGTTTCTTTTCCTTCGATAACTGTACCGAACCAATACATGAACAAATATTCGTGTGCATCAACAAGCACAGTGTGGCCTCTGCCAGCGTCACATGTAATGAATATGCCTAATGCGTCTACGTTGGCGCCAGTAATCTTTTCAACCCCTGAGTGTGTGCAAAAGTCGCCGTTGATCGCGCCGAACATAGCTGTAGCTGCTACGTCAGCAGAATACGCACCGTACATGCAGAACAGACAAGATCAAACCAATGTGCGTATGCAGTATGAAACAAATATGAATTCGAATGTTGCTATGGCAATGCAGAGTGCGTAATTGTAATATAAGAGAAATTATAGATGCTTTGCCGTCATTCGACAACAACAGTGATGACGTCACATCAGTGCAATTTGTTCAAAGTGTTGAGCAATTAAAGAATGCATACCAGTGGAATGACCATATTGTTCTATTTGCTATAAGAAGTAAATTGAGAGGTGCCGCAAAATTGTGGATCGATTCGCAACCAGTATTTCGTAGCTGGGGTGAATTTGTGGTCGCATTCTTAAATGATTTTCCGTGTGTTTTAAATGCTGCTGATATTCATATGCAGTTAATGAGCAATCAGCAGAGAAAAAATGAAAGCGTTGTTGAGTACTATTATCGAATGTTAGCTATTGGACGCCGTGGACAACTCGAAGACCAAGTGGTCATAAGATATGTAACCATCGGGCTGTATGACGACGGGTTGCGGAAGACATTATCTGCTATGCAATTTAAAAATTGCTCAGATTTTGTGCGGTCGTTACAGAACAGTAATGTAAGCGTACGAAGACCAGTAGTACGTTATAATGATAATCAATATATGCCGAATAAAAATAACAGTGACTCCAGTGTAACTCGTGTGGTAAAAACGGAACCGCAACGAAAGCCGCGTTGTTCAATGTGTTCAGGAAACCATGACACAAAAACGTGTAATAAACGAAATCCAGTAAATGCGATTGAAAAACCTGGTGTTATAATTAAACAAATATGTATAAACAATATTTTATGTAACGCTTTGTGTGAAAACTTTGAACGGTTTTGCCGGCGGTGAATATGTGTGTTCCGAAAAGACAGATAAGTTGTCAATAACTATTGATGAACAAAAGTACAAGTGCGAAATGCTAGTGGTCGAAGATGATACCATGGCATATGACGTTATTATCGGTATTGACTTATTGTCCAAATGTCGCGTTGTGATTGAAAATGGAAACTGTCAAGTGTTTGCGATAACACCCGAAAATTTTAAGTGCAACGAGAATTTATCGGTAAACGAACAAAATGAGTTGCGTAATTTGTTAAATAATTATTATGATTGTTTTGGCGAAAATCTAAATGAACTTGGTAAGGCGAAAACAACGAAAATGGAGATTGCGGTTACATCTCCAACGCCGATAACAAAAAAACCTTACAGCATACCAATTCCTAAACAACGTGTCGTGGAACGAATTGTTGACGAATTATTAGAGTTAAATATTATTCAAACATCAACTTCAGAATACTCGTCTCCTATTGTTCTTGTACCGAAATCGAATGGTGAAGATCGTTTATGCATCGACTACAGGGCATTAAATGCTGTAACGGAAAAACAGCCATGGTCAATGCCTACAGTAGATGGTGTTCTATCAACTCTTGCGGGAAAAAGATTTTTCACAACTTTAGATATGATGTCAGGCTATTATCAGATTGAAATTGCTGAATCATCGAAAAAGCTGACAGCGTTCGTCACTCATAATGGTCACTATGAGTTTAACCGAATGCCATTTGGCCTCAAAAATGCTCCGTGCGTATTTCAAAAGATGATGATGAAACTTATGGAACCGCTGAGAGGTAAGGTGGTTAGTTATGTTGATGAAGTCATTGTGGCATCTGAAACAGCACAAGAAGGGCTTGAGAATTTAGAAGAATTTTTGAAAATTATTCGTAATGAAGGATTGACCTTACGCCTATCGAAATGTTATTTTATGAAAGGCAGTGTATGGTTTTTAGGTCATGAAGTCGACGAGAATGGTATAAAACCTGGTATAACTAAAACCATTGCGATAAAACAATTTCCTATACCAACAAATGTAACAGAAGTCAGACGTTTCTTGGGACTTACAGGTTACTTCAGGAAATTTGTTCAGAATTATGCACAAATTGCTCATCCGTTAACACAGTTAACGAGAAAGAATATTGCTTTTAAATGGTCATTGGAATGTGAAAATGCTTTCCTCAAACTAATTGAATTGTTAGCTAATGAGCCGCTTTTGGGAATATATGACATTAATAAAGAACAAGAAATTTATACTGACGCAAGCAGTATTGGACTTGCAGCGATATTAATGCAACGTGAAGATAACGGAATATCAAAGCCCATAGCATATTTTAGTCGATTATGTACAGATGTTGAAAGTAAATATCATGGATATGAATTAGAAGTTTTAGCGGTAGTTGAAGCATGTCAACGTTTTCGAATGTATATTTTGGGCAAACATTTTAAAATCTTTACGGATTGTTCAGCTATTTCCAGTATTAAAACAGTAACACCAATGATTCCACGAGTCGCAAGATGGCTGTTAAAATTGCTCGAATATGATTATACGTCAAGTCATCGCCCAGGTAATTTAATGGCTCACGTTGACGCAATGAGTCGAGCTCCTGTTGAACCGCCATGCGAAGTTGATGATGTATCTGCAAATTTAATGATGATTAACATTTCGAATGAGGATTGGATTTTGACAATGCAACAGCAAGATGCAAATTTACAACAGATCATTGATATTTTAAAAGGACGTGTCGATTCAACACAGCGAGAGCAGCATGAGAAGGAATTCATTTTCAAGGGAAATCGGCTCTATAGAAGACATCATGATGGGAAAGAGTTACTGGTCATACCAAAAGGAATACGATGGAGAATTGTGAAACTTTGTCATGATGATGCTGGTCATCCAGGTGTGGATGGCACAATAAAACGTATTAAACAACATTTTTGGTTTCCTCGATGTCGAAATTTTGTTAAGGGGTACATCAAATCATGCATTGAATGTTGTTATAATCGAAGTACAGCAAAGAAAGAATGTCAACTATATGGTATGGAGATACCGAGGGTGCCGTTCGAGGTAATACATATGGACCATCTAGGACCTTTTATTAGAAGCTGCAGTGGTAATGAATATAACATAGTGATCGTGGATGCACTAACTAGATATGTTGTAACTGTCGCTGTTAAATCAACGAAAACCAAACCTGTATTAGAAACACTTAATCAACTAACATTGTATTTTGGTCTTCCCAGTAAAATCGTTACTGATAGAGGTACAGCCTTTACATCCTCAGCGTTCGAAGCTTATTGTAATAGTAACAATATTCAGCATATTAAAGTTGCCGTACGCACACCACGAGCTAATGGTATTGCTGAACGTGTGAATCAATCAATTCTCTCTTATTTAAAGACGTCATCAGATACAAAAGATTGGGACACAAAACTTCGTTGCTTACAATGGAAGATAAATACAACAATAAATTCAACAACAAAATATTCACCCATTGAACTAATTTACGATTTTCCGTTAAAAGACATTAGTGGAAATAAACTGTTGGCTGCTGTAACAGAAGAAAATATCAATATCGATGGTCACGAATTAAGCGCGCGTCGTGAGGATGCTAAAAAGAACATTAAGGCTGCACGTGAGGTTTGGAAAGCTAGATTCGATGCTAAATATAAAACTCCGCAACCGTATAAAGAAGGTGATCTTGTGCTTATTGAAGCAACGCTTCCAAGCACAGGCGAATCAAGAAAACTTGGCATTAAATATCGCGGGCCATATGAAGTGAAGAAAATTCTGCGATTTGACAGGTATGTCATTGGAGACATGGTGGGTGAACAAAGAAAACAACGCCGGTATAGCACAGTCGTTAGCAGTGATAAACTGAAACCATGGTGTTCATTATTTCCTACAGTCGACGATGACTACGATGAAGATAACGATATTAACATATAGTAAATTTGAAACTCGAGGACGAGTTAATATCAGGATGGTCGAACTGTCACTCTTTTGTTATTTTACTTTTATTTATTGCTTTATTGTTACTTCTATTATCATTCTCTTATGCATCTTTTCATGCTCTCATGAGTGTTACGCTCTCGGAGTGCATTAATGTAAGAAATATAATAAATAAATGAAAGTTTAGTTTTGACTAGACACTCTTAATCAAACGGACGTGTTTTATTTAAACTCGGTGTCTGACAATAGTCTTATTTCAAACATAACATACAATTGTTAATATATAATGATAAGATAATATCGGCAACATTTAGTTTAATTTAATAAATATTTTTCGAACTTAAAATTTTTGACTTACAATTCAAAGCATGAATTTATACATAACGAAGTTATTTGGTTATAGACTTTATTTGACCCCATAGTTATACAAACAAGTTGGCACTGAAAACCTGGTGATTTTCTTTGTGGACCTATTTTGACTTTTAAAGGATGATCCATCTAAAATATTTAAGATATTGCATAAAATAACCACAAATATATTGTATATGTTTTAGTTACCTTTTCTGATTCGTTTGAATCCGTTTTATGTACTTGATGTGGAATAAAATCACACTCCGGAGTATTACCATATATGTCTTCATAATTTTCGTAAATTATTGGAACTTCTAAAACTAGTATCTCCGAAGTTGATTCGACCTTTCTAAATTTAAATAAAAGAACTTGACCCATTGCTCCCGCTACACATAAATTTCGAGATTCCGAACAAAGATATATTATTTGTATTCCAAGTGGATTGTCAGTACCATCATCGATGTTTAAATTTTTTGGTTTTTCAAATATTTTGGCTGTTTTAAGTTTATATAAAATCTAATACGAAAAACAGTAAGTTAAAATTTTGATTTTATGTTTTAAATTATAAATTTTTTTTACTTGCAATGTTCCTGCACTTGAGTCCCAAAATTTCAAGCTACCATCCTGGTGACCGGTGATAACGATTTCCGAGTAACTGCAAGATGCTGGAGCCCACTCTCCACCTGATATAGGCCATTCCCTTTCCGAAAATCCAGTGCTTTTGCTAGTAGTTGTGCGGCCCACCTTAATTACGCAATTGGACTAATTTTATTACATACTACGATTAAATTATGGTAAGCATTACAGAGTAAAAAGCAGGAACCAAATCCGAAGGACAATCGGTTAAATATGTGCAACATGTAACAGGTGATTCATGTAAATCCATTGGATAAGGGGACTCGAAGCAAGGGAAACCGGGAGTAAGTAAATCTATCAATACCAAGTCATATTGAAGAAGAACTGCTATTGCATACGGTTCTTGAGACTCTAGTACAATACAAGTAAAGCCAAACACATAATTAATTATATGTAAGATATACATAATTATATGTATGTATATTATATCTATATAGTCAACTTACCACATGTCCATGGATTTTCGCAAAGCGTTATAAAATCTACAACCGTGTGCTCCATTTCTAAAACAGTCGTTGTTTTTCCTACCATAACTGTAACACAATTTGATTTGACATACTTTTCAGATGACATTCCACCAGAAAAAATTGTTATTGTATCTCTATAAAAAAAGTGTGTGTTTTCAAGTAGAAATACAAGAATTAGTTAATACTTTACCCAACAGGTGATGTTTTTAGATCTACTTTAAAAATTGGTTGACATTTTTCAGAGCTGCCATCTTTAAGAACTTTTGCTAAAAACAAAAACATTACTTATTCACTACCAATATGCATATTTAATTTGGAATAAAAGTGAGTAATTGTAAGAGTACGCGTGTATTTTTTAATTTCGCTCCGTACAAAATAATTATATTTATCAAAACTTAGTAAAATATTTAAGAAACAGTTAATTTCGTGGAATTGTAGAGTAGACAATACAAATAATTTATAGCCAAAAATAAATCCTCGACGGCGAATGAAGTGGCAAATGGTCAAACATGCCGTTTATTCTTCAAAGATAAAGATGCAAATATAAGCTACCTTATAGACACCGGAGCTGAAGTTTCAATATTACCAAAAAAGATGCAACCCGTCAATGCAATCGCCAAACAGTACTGCCTATATGCGGCGAACGGAACGAATATAAGCACGTACGGAACAAAATTAATGCAACTCAATTTAGGGTTGCGTAGACAGTTCCAGTGGGAGTTCCTAATTGCAGACGTGAATCATTCAATAATTGGAGCAGATTTCCTTAACAACTTTAGCCTAATATAGTACCTTAAAAATAAAAGAATTTGCGACGGCATCACAGGCCTCCAGATACAAAGAAGAAGGCGCACTGTATAAAACTAAGTACTGTTGACGCAGCTAGTCCAGTACACAACGTGCTAAAGGACTTTAAAGAAATAACTGAACCAGTTACATTAAATAAAATTGTACGAAAAGTCATATTGGTCCAACATCAAATTGTCACAAGAGCACAACCAGTATTTGCAAGACCCGGCGATTAAATCCGGAGAAATACGAAATAGCGAGGAAGGAATTCGAATTAATGATAAAACAAGGAATTTGCAGACCACGTGACAGTAACTGGGCAAGCTCATTACTTTTAGCAGCGAAGAAGGATGGTAAATGGCGACCGTGTGGAGACTACAGAAAACTCAATTCCATAACACTGCCAGACCGATACCCAATTCCTCACCTACATGACTTTACCCATATATTACACAATAAAAAAGTTTTTTCAACTATTGACCTAGAAAAAGCGTACAATTAAATTCCAATCGCTAAAGAAGATAGGCCTAAGACAGCAATAATAACCCCATTCGGTTTATTTGAATTTAACGGTCTATGTAATGCCGCACAAACGTTTCAAAGATTTATGAATGATGTGTTAAAAAACCTAGATTACGTGGTAACGTACATAGACGACATTTGCGTGGCATCAGCTGATGGAGAGGAGCATGAGAAACACTTCAGAGAGGTGTTCAAGCGATTACGCGACCATGACCTTAAAATCAATTTGGGTAAATGTACATTCTATAAGAAAGAGGTTACCTTCCTGTGGCACACAGTTAACAAGGACGGAATTAGTCCTACTGCCGAGAAGGTTGAAGCAATGAAAAATTTTAAAAAACCAACAGAAGGTCGTGAATTAAGAAGATTTCTCGCTTCATTAAACTTTTACAGGCGTTTTCTCTCGCACGCTGCAAAGAATCAGGGTGTCCTGCACGCGTTAATAAAAAGTAATAAGAGGAACGATAAGTCTCCAGTTGAGTGGACAGCAGAAGCTGAAAAAACGTTTGAAATGTGTAAAAACGACCTAGCAAGTGCTGCGATGTTAGCCCACCCGGCTCCAAACGCAAAATTAGTGTTTAATGTAGCCGCTAGTAATGTCACAGTAGGAGCAGCTCTGCAGCAGTTAGTAAACGGACAATTGCAACCGTTAGGATTTTATTCTAAAAGGCTGACAGAGGCGCAAAAGAAGTACAGTAAGTATGACCGTGAGCTTCTTGTAATATATATGGCTGTTAAATACTTTAGGTATATGATTGAAGGCAGGAACTGCAATATATTAACGGACCACAAACCAATCACATTCGCTTTTCTACAAAAACCAGAGAAAGCATCTCAACGTCAACTACGTCATTTGGATTTCATCGGACATTCAGTCATCGGACTGACAAAAGACATTCAGCACATAGCAGGTGATCAAAATACTGTTGCAGACGCTTTATCCCAAATTGAAAGTGTGATGACTGAATTCAGACAACCATTAGACTATTATAAATTGGTAGAAGCGCAGAAAACTGATCAAGAGCTGCATGAATTGTTGAAAAATAGTGCATCGTCATCTCTGGAGCTTGAACTGGTGAATCTGCTTCTAGATAATGTGTCCATATACTGTGACGTTTCCGGAAAGAGGGCAAGACCATTCATCACGAAAGCATTCCGCAAGCAAGTGTTTGAGAAATTACACACTTTAGCTCATCCTGGAAGAAAAGCAACATTAAGACTAGTCATTGATCGTTTTTGTTGGCCTAAAATGAAGGCGGAAATAAGCGAAATGGTAAAAACGTGTATTGCGTGCCCAAAATCAAAAATCCAGCGGCGCAATAGAACCGTGCTGCAGGAGTTTAAATCACCAGATCAACGCTTCGAGCACGTAAACATTGATATTGTGGGATCATTACCTCTCTGCAATGGTATGCGGTATTGCCTAACATGCATCGACAGGTTCACAAGATGGCCCGTGGCAGTACCGTTGGTTAAAATAACAGCAGAAAATGTTGCTGAAGCATTAATAAAAGATTGGATAGCGCATTATGGCGTGCCAAAAAGAATTACGACAGACTAAGGACGGCAGTTCGAGTCCAAATTATTTGAGGAACTAGCAAAAATGTTGGGGTGTGAAAGGCACCAAACTACCGCATACCATCCTCAAGCAAATGGGCTAGTGGAACGTTTTCATCGTACCTTAAAAACGGCACTAAAGTGTATGTCTAATATGGAATGGACGAGGACTTTACCGTTAGTAATAATGGGGCTAAGGTCAGCATATAAAGAAGGCCTACAAGCGACCCCATCAGAGCTGGTTTATGGCGCAAACATACGCATGCCGGAAGAAATGTTCGATGGTGAAGACAAACATGTACCGCAAACGGAGTTTGTAAAGATAATAAAAGCAACGATGAGAGAGCTGAAACCTCACGTTACAAACCTCACGTCATATGGCGGAAAAACCGTTCGTGCATAAGGATTTAAAAAGCAGTTCACACATATTCCTACGTAACGATGCTGTACGTCCTCCACTGAAACAACCATACGAGGGTCCGTATGAAGTGGTAAGTCGTAGCGAAAAACCTTAAAAATTAGGGTAAAAGGACGGACAGTAAATGTTAGTGTGGACCGCGTGAAACCCGTATACATGGCGAATGAAACTTGTGAAAGTTTGACAGGAGAACGAATGGAAGAACCTAACCGCAGTGACTGTGTTCAACATACACCGAAGGTGACTCGAGCGGGAAGGATTGTACGGTTTCCAACGAAGTATACTGGATAAGTGTCACTTCAACAGAAGGTAGAATTTGTCGTCAGTTGGATGTCAAATTCTAGAAAGGGTTGTGTGGTGATAACGCAGTTTACATTAAAAAAATCAATTTGACAGAAGTAATTTTATACTAAGAAAACAAATTTTATAATTTTATATAGTTTGTAATATAATTTATATAGTTTGTAATTGAGAAGTAATATTAACAGCAATAAAGGTGTTGATACAAAGTCTTGCAATTACAACAGACTCATGCACAATAACGTGGATAGATAAGATGTCACCAGACAAGAACATATCTTCCAAGTTAGTTAGCAAAACCATCAGCATTTGTGCTACACGTGGCTGCCCTTAAGTTGTGGCTTTCTCACCATTGCACTGGAGCAATCTGACTACAATGCCATAGGTTATGCAGATGACCCAGCAATCATTGTTTCTGGTAAATATGATGACACAGTTACTAACATAATGCAAGGCGGCCTTACACAAAGTCTCGAACTGGTGTATAAAAGGTCTACATATTAACCCGAAAAAGGCGGTAATTGTACTATATTGCAGAAGATATAAAGTGAATATTGTGTCCCTATCTATAAAAGATACGGCTATTGAATGCTCCTATAAACTCAAATATTTGGGGATTACCCTAGATAAATGTCTTAACCGAAACACTTGCCTAGATAATATAATTGGACTGCGTTATTACCTCAACAAAAATGGGTCTGTCTGAAGAGATAGATTGTCGACTCTGCTTAGAAGCAGACAAAACTTACAGTCACATTCTCTGTAACTGCCAACCCTTGATATGGGCAGGCGAAGGTGACAGGATCGAGAACTATTCTTCCCTTCTGACATTAGAAGGTTCTCAACGGCTGACATTCTGTCTTTCATTCGAAAGGCGGAATGTCTTCTGTTGCAGCACAAAAGATCATCTATGGTCGCAGTGGTCCGCTCCGTTGGGAGCTTATACCCGTTTATTTCTATTCTATGCCCATTCTTAAAAAAATTGAAAAACTAAAAAAATTTTCTTCCGAAAATTAATAAAATACTTCATTACGTTCTAGATTAGGTTCTATACACAAGAAAGAATAATATAAAAGTATACAACAAATAATGACGCTACAAACAGATTAGTATTGAAATTTAACAATTAATAATAAAAAATATAATTAATTCAATTATTCTATACTTGGTTTATGATTTCGTTGTAATATAACACACCAAATTGATTTCTTAATAAAAACTTTCACAGCAATTTAAAAAAACTTCAGAAAAATATGCGAACATAAAAAAATAAGTCAAGTACGGCTTTGTGTCAGTTGGTTAAGAGGCGCTGACTCTGAGCTTCAAATTTGGCAGGACATGAGTTCGATTCCTGGTCCTTGCAAGAATTATTTCCAATACTACAGATGATGGGTATTTTTTGCTTTTGTAGTTCACTACTTTTCGAAAAACATTTTTATAAAATACTTTAAATAAATAGAACATAATAATAATCTTAATAATTTAATATTAATCATACATAAATATTCTTAATTATTTAATAAAACAATTGTTTTATAATTATTACATAAAGAATTAAATCAATAAATTAGAATATATTAATGTGTTTCATAACAAAAATAAACTCTGAAGCGTAATATTTGCATTTGTTATTATTTCAACTTGCTTACTTTTCAAATGTTTTGTAATGAATTTTTGGACGCGAGTGATAACAAAACAAAACATCAACCCATGTATAAAAAAATAGTGACAGTCAATAAGTGAGAGTGTATGCAAAGATTCTACCAAAGTTTATCAATAAATATCATTAATATTGATCAATTTTAACTACTTATAAAACCAAGCGTCATCACCCGTTACAATTTTGTAGAAGGTGCTATGCCATACATTTTCAAATTTTTGAATAAAATATCGTGTTGTTCATCAGACCAACGTTTACATTATCTAAAATCTCCTACACTGCTTCAGTACAGTCGTAAGTTATCGTGCATTCTATTTTGCACTCATTAAATATTTCCACAAAATTAAGATTATACGTTCATAATGAATACATTTTATCGTTTTTTTTTTGTAGTAAAAATACAGAAAACTTTAGGTGCGAATAGACGTGTTTTTAAATAGATCCATGTATGTAAGATTATGTTTAATAATAAATATCTTATATATATTTAATAACAAATGTTTAATTATAAATTGTAACGTTTAGTGATAAATGCACAACGAGGTGTAGACCGCTTCTGCTTTCAACTGTTACACACGACCGTTCAACTTTAACGCTTTAGTACGACTGGGTCTCTCCCATTGCCCGCATTGCCAAATAAACTTCAATAACAAACAGGGTTGCGAGCTTCGCTCTTCATTTTTGGCCTTCCTGATCATCATCATCCGCCCCGTATGATAACAACTCCTCATTTTCAGCAACGTTTTTCTATAATTTAATTGTTCAATTTAATTGTTGCATTATATTTCTTCATTAGTTCAGCTAATTTTTAATTCTCTTCAATTTGACTTTGAACAATTTGCACGATTTTCAACTTCATTGCGTATCCTATAAACATAGCTGCAGCCAATTGTGCTTCTGCTGTTTGACGTGCTTTCATAGCAAGCGTGCGTACTGATTTAGCATCTTCTAACTGAGTATCTGCCCAGCCATTTCATCTAGCTCTTTTTTCTCTTTCTCCTCAACTTCATCATCTTCTGTTGGCTCGACACCTAAGTTTTCATTAGGTTCCACTAAGAGTTTAAAAACACGTTTGGATATTTCCTCTCGATTATCTTTACGAAACAGACAAGGTATCTCGGATTTAGTTTCATATGTTTTGACATCTGTTTTCTTAACTTGGTTAAATTTATTTTTGTAATTCTGACTTTTTATCTTCTTTGGCAGTGGGTTTTTTCTTATCATTCGGAATAATGCTCAACTTAATCGGATATTGTGCGTGTTTTGGTGGTTGCTGAAAAGTGGTTTCGACCGGAATGACTTTTGGCATTCTTTAGAAGCTGAAATCATATTGGACTCTTCAAATATGTTATATACGTCAATTGCCTGTTCATCCGTAGATTTTTCTCGATCGAAAATCTAAATTTTGTTATGAAGTCATACTCCAGTAATACATTACCGTGCATCTTGTCATTTGGAACAACTAAGAATTTATGCTCGGTATGAAGTCAACCGACCTTAACATGTGCATCGGTATTGTTTTTGCGTTACCTAATCCGGGCTTGGTACAGGGTTTTTGAAAAATTTCGGCGTTTTGCAAGTTTTCCAGTTAGGTGCAAGTTATAATCTTTACGTCGGATTAAGTAAAATTTCTATTCCACCGCGTGTGCTAGATTCCTTTCTAGTCATACGATAACCATTCTAAACAAAATTAAACTTATGTAATATAGACTAATCGCCAAAAAGTTCTCAAATACTGTATCTTCAGCAGCATCGCCTACCATTTCCCACCAAAATAATCAAGTACCATATAGCTTCAGAATCCAATCCTCAAAAAGTCATAAAAATATTTTTAAATTTAAATTGAAGTAATTTCCCTTTATTTGTTCTTCGTTATTTATTCTACAAAACCAATTAATCTGATGCACATAGCGGTACAGGTATTTCAGTACGAAGACATCTAAAACACAATATTTTGTGTGAAAGCACGTCAGAATGTTTAAATATAAAGGGAAAAAACTTAGTCTTATCCTTAGTATAATATCCATGTGGCTTTACAATTGCATAATCCCAATTCATGACTTTACACAACTACCATTGTTTCATCGTATTCTTGTTTTTATTATGCTTAATTTTATCCCGACACATTAAAATTTTTATGCATGTGTTTTAAGCGCGGTGCAGACTATCATACTGGTCTGTCATACGAGTTGCGCTCTCTCTTGCTCAAATTTCTTCTAACGACCGAATTTGAACAGGTATGACACACAAGAGTAGGCAAAATTTTTGAAGAGTGCTTTTGCGGGTAGTGCTGTGAAAATTTGTGTTTAAAATAAAATTTTAAAATTGAAAAAATTGATAGTTAACGTATAGGTTGTGCTTTGCTTATAATTGATTATAATTTTGTATATTTTATATATGCCGCGTTTTTTTTGCGATCTTTATATTCACAGCTTTGGACATCCCACAAACAGCGATTACTTTTATTAACATTCGATGAAAGCATCTAAAAATGCTTTATCTGCATCCATATTCATATTTTTTTTAGGTTTATTGGTCATTAAGCACAGTAGTTAAAATGAAAAGATCAGTAAAGAACCGTAGTTAATTTCATTCACTACCTGTAAAGTTTCTTAAGAAATTTTTCATAAATAGATCATACAAATAATGTATATATATATATACATAAGAATGTATATATCTTCATTGTTTTTCAAGAAATTTGATCATTTCCATATTTTTGTTACTTAAAGGTTATTAACATTTAAAATTCTTTTATTTTAATAACAAGTTTTAAGAAAGAAAAGCATATTTAGAATACAAAGTATTATATCTTAAATTTAGGTTATTAATTAATTGTTATTACGACCAATTTTCAATATGTTTTTTTATTACTGGGCTTAGATCATAAATTTAATTATGTTTATATTTAGATGTTTTTTTAAAAAAATTTTACTTATAATCATCGTTTATAAATTAAAATAAAAGAAAATAAAATATTTAATAAATTAAATAAAATATTTAATAAATTAAATAAAATATTTAATATATTATATAAAATATTTAATTGTATTTTAATTTTTTATAAGAATTTTATGTAAAAATTTATATTTTTTTTTTAACTAAAATACAATTAAATATTTTACACAAATTTATAAGTGTAATTTTAATAATAATAAATATAATAATAATAAATACAATAATAATAAAATAATAAAAAAACATATTAAATTCATATTAAAATTTTACATATATCACCTGCTCACAATAAATTTGCAAGGCAAAAATGCTCTTGTATGACGTATGAATCGTTAGGGGTGACAGACTATCATACACAACGCGTATGCGAGAGCTGTTCACCAAAATTTTGGTGAGCACGCCAACACGTTGGTAAAGGTGGCAGACTATCATACCTGTGTGTCATACGACGTTTTTCTCTCTCGTATGACATACCAGTATGATAGTCTGCACCGCACTTTAGTAAAACGATTTGATATTCAACCTTTCAGAATGATTTGAGTGTGTCTTTTAACAATAGCAATAGAATGGTTGGAAGATTAAATATCAAATCATATTCGAGTTCTACTCATCTTCAGTGCAATTGTGCAAAAATGCGAAAGAAGAGCCAAACAAACCTTATCAACAATTGAGTACAAAAATTGAGACCTATTCATAGAAAACTTCAACTTCAAAGTGAAATTGAGCACCGAAGCATACCTCGACAAAGGAATACCGTATTACATTTAGCAAATACGTGCGGCAGTTGCTATAATAGTTCGACTTTAAAATAATAGACTAAACAAGAAGTTAATTACAGTATTCTTAATTTAGTTACTAACCGTGCCACTACTTATTAAACATATGCGTATTAAGTCAAATTGGCTAAATAGAAAATATTGTTGCAATGCTTTTGCAGAGCTTTTGTTTGATATATTACAATTACATATAGTAATAAATATTAAATTTTTTTTAAGTTAAATATCAAAAACCTATACTTTTGTTGTAAATTGAACCTATTGCGTAAAATGTTATTTATTTATTTAGGCTCCATAGAGCGCCAACGAACATAATAGAGCAGATAACATACAGTTAAGGCTGTGTGGGATAGATTTTGATTTTGGATATCAAAATTATATAACAACCGAAAGCCAATTAAATTTTATTAAAATCAAAACAAAAACTCAATTTTTGCACTTCTGTCAAAATCTTAACAATAAATGTTTTCACATACATTTTTTGAATAAGGAGTCCCATTAAAATTTTAAACTTAATGACCTTCAATTTTGGACTTATATTTTGTAGGGCCTTCGTATCGACTAATATAAACATATCTTCTAACGACCCCATCACGATTTTTAAATAATTTCGTATCAAAGTTACATTGGAAAACCCCTTTTTTGGCGCCACTCTTTGTTACTTGTTTATTCAATATTATTAAATTACAAAATAAGAATAAAACTAATTGCGAAATTTAAATTAAAAAACGACTGATGAAAAGCCAAAATTTTAGAAGAATAATAGTCTTGATTAACGTTGCTAACACTACAATAGTTTCTAACACTACAATATACTTGCAAATACAAGTATACAAATTTTATATAATAATTAATACAAATTTTATAATACACATTTTATATAATAAACACATTTACTTTATACCTACCATGAGGATAAACAAACGATTGCGGTTTCGCAACAGATCTACATGGCCATGAACAAATGGAACCATCAGTATGTGATGAAACAAAATATTTGCCTTCATAATGCCAGGAAATAGATTTAACTGGTTCTGCTGATTGCCATCTTATTTCTGCACACCTTGCTTTTAAGTCCCATAACACAAGAAGTCCGCATTCAAATGCAATTAATAACTATAAATAAAATAAATATTTTTTTGTATTAAAGAATATTAAATTTATCCACTCGCCTTATTAGCATCTGTTGGATTATCACATAATCCAATAACAGCACCTGGATGACTAGTTCGAGTCCTGCATATAAAGTTAAATAACAAAAATATTGTTATTTATGTTGTTAAAAGTTTATGTAAAGAGAATAAAAAACTCTAAGTTGGTTTTTCATTCACGTAATGTATTAAGAATGTGAATAATATTGCCGATCATATTAATAAAGCCAACTCGAAACTATTCTAAAGTTATTAAATTAAATTAATCTCTACCATATCTTTCTGGCAATTTTTAGGTAACATTTAACATATACAGGCTTTAAAAAATTATCACCTATATGAATACCCTTAAAGTTCTTTGAAAGGCACTCTATGTTAAAATCATAATAGTTGTATTTGGCAACTTCTAAGTGTGGCAAAAAACAACAACAAGTCACTTGCTTAGTCACTAAAATATATGCAAAACAACAATACTACTTTCTCTACCTAAACGACTAGTTATAAAGTGGCGAAACATATTAGTGACTGCAGAAAAAAATGTTACCAAAGCAATAAGCGATCTTTTGTGAACCTTTATTGGAAATTTCAACGAATATTCCAATCATATGTCAAAAGTTTGTAAACAAAAATTCAAACAAAATTGAAAATTTCATAAATTTTGAAATTGTGGAAATAAATTTTAAAAATTCCAAAATTGGAATAAATAATTATTTTAAAAATATACATGCAAACACATACAAAAATATATAGGAATATCTACATGAAGAATGTATACATATTTAAAAAGCATTTAAAATTTGTAACTTATAAGTTGCTAAAAAGTTTATACTTATTAAGGCACAAAATTTTGCTTTTAGTTCATTAATCATTTTAATTTCCAATTTTAATTAATTATTTGCTTTTACACAAAATGTAGTTTGCTTGCATTATGTCAATATGCGGGATTTGTGCTTTGCGAAAACCACATTTGACAGATTGCAACAGTGATGCCAATATCTCAATTAGCGACTTTAGCAAGCACCTTGTTTTTTTTGGCACACTTCGAAATTGCCGAATACACATAGTGTAGAAAAGATATTTTTTCATATTTTTTTTATGAGCTCCTTTCAGGAAATAAGAAGACCCATATCTCGGGAAAAAATTTTGTAATTTTTTTCTTAGGAGATATTGACCCATGGGGTTTTGAGCATTGGCATTGTAAACACATTTTCAAATGGCTATATCAGGCTCATGCTCTGTAAATGGTAGGAACTTGCTGCAAATTTGCTGCATTTTAAACATAATTGTTTAAACTTTTAAGTAATTTTTTAAATTATTACGATTGTTTATATTTAAGTACTAATATAAACCGTTCATTTTCAAAAAAAAAATTTCTAAAAACACGTTCCCAAATTTTCATTTTTTATATTTGAATTAGATTCAGTTTCTACATGAAATCCAAAAATTTCAGGACGATATTGTCCTTAGAAGTATTTTTAAAAATTTTAAAAATTTTTTAAAAATTTATCCATCACATTGCACCAAACACATATGGGTCATTCTTTTACAAACCGGACACCTTTTTGACCTCATCACCTCCGATTTGGCTGAAATTTTTTTTATGAGCTCCTTTCATAAAATAAGAAGACCCGTATCTCGGGAAAAAATTTTGTAATTTTTTTCCTAGGAGATATGGACCCATGGGGTTTTGAGAATTGGCATTGTAGACACATTTTCCAATGGCTATATCTCAAGTTCTATAAAAGATAGAAACTTGAAATTTATTGCGTTTTGAAGATAATTGGTTGAACTTTTAAGAAATTAATTAAAACAATTAAGATTGTTTATATTTAAGTACTAATATTAACCGTTAAATTTCAAAAGAAAAAGATATCTCAAAACGGTACGGTACATTTTTCATTTTTTATATTTTATTTAGATTCAGTTTTAAATTTTACTAAGAAATAAAAGTTTTCATGATGGCACCGATTTTTATAAATTTTTAAAATTTTTTTTTTTCTCATAAAACATATCAAACACATGCGTGCTATATTTACATTGAATGAATTTTAAAAAAAATATTCTACAAATATTCTTATATAATATTTTTGATTTCAATTAGTAATAAAATTGTACATAAAACTCAAAAATTTCAGGACGATATTGTCGTTGGAAGTACTTTTAAAAAATTTATTTATCCGTCACATCACTCCAAACACATACACACGATTTTTCAGTAAAAAAAAACAGAGGAATACGTCACACAAATTTTTCATTTTTACTTTTAATTCCGATCAATCAATTTTGATATAATCGCCATATATACATCTTATAATGCACAAACCTACATGTATATGTCGCATAAACACATACATATAGTAAAGCATCACAAGTTGTACATAATTAACTATTACATAGCTGTTTTAATATAACATTATAACAATGCATACGTTCCCACACATATATGTACATATACATACATATGCGGCACCGCTAAGTCTACAGCGCATTTGATATCATATACCCAAATGCTAGCATATGACATCAAACAACACCGGCAAGAATTATGTAATCCTAAGCTAAACACAACAACAAACTATATGGTGTAAATACCTTCACATAATGATGTGAATAATGTAAACCATAACCGTTTACATTAAGATAATTATTAGAAATAGATATGAAAACACCCACACACACAAATGAAAATAATATAATGATATTTCCATTCATAATGAGAACATTTCCACATCCACCTCCAACATACATAATGCAAATATAATACAAATAACGCAGTGTTATATTTACATATCAGAATATCAATAAAAATATATTTATAAAATATAGAACTTACAACTTTAAGATGTAAATATATAAAATCATATAAAAAAATATATATCAAGAATATTAAAAATATATATCAAGAATATTAAAAATTGAAAATATTAAAAAATTGAAAATATATATTAAAAATTCTATATATTCGTCCAAACCTAATTCAGTCATTTAAATCGTCAGTCTTTTATAATGGGATTTTCTATATATTGGTATAAACCAACAAAGTAAACTACAGTCAATGGTTTCTTCGAAAATAAATATTTCCAGTGTGATATTGCTTCCAGAAGTAATTTAAAAAAATTAATTTATCAGGTGTCCTTCATGTTACTCATACGCACCATAATACCATTGAATCAATTTTCCAAGAAAAGTGACACAATATTCACATTTTAAATTAGTTCCGCATCATCTCTATTTTTAAATTATAAATTTTAACATAATTAAACCGTTTTATGAACTTTTTCTTATATTGATCAGTTTAAAAATTAATTAGTTCCACACTAGCTGAACTACCTGAATAACTGAAGCACATAAGTACACCCACCTTCTATGGTGAGTATTATTCTGCTACAGTTGGAAAAATTCTTTAAGCAGGTAAGAACTGTAAACAATTTGAAATGGAGTGTCTAGGTACTCCTATCTTTAAAAGATCCAGTATCAAATTTGGTATAAAATGTTAAGTAAGTCTGATAAATTTTCAGTTTCTGTTTTGAAAGCGAACAAACAAGTAAGAACATTTAAATAATGGCAAAAGTTGAAAAAAATAAATTGCATCTACGGCAATTCAATGACTTAAAATGTTTCAATCCGCTGAAGTTAAAAATACATCCAAGAAAGGCCAAAGTAAGGCAAGTTTCAGATAGTATCCTGCGTATGTTGGGGATGCCTAGGACCAAAAAAATATGGGGAAAAAAATATGTAACAGTTGCCGAATGAGACTGGCGATGAGAGCCAAAAAAAATAAGAACAATGAAGGAGCTATATCGGAAAACAACAGCCAGTCATCGAGCGAGGAAAATATTCAACCATCAAGTAATAGCAGTTCGGCTACATACGAAACTGAAGTCAGAAAAAGTGCTATTAGTCCATTAAATAAAGCACTCTCTCTAATAAGCAATACCCCAATTACATCGAGAAAACTTAAACAACAGGAATATAAAAATGAAAAAATAAAGGATATAACTGAAGCAATTAAACATAAAATTTTCAACATTCCTCCCGATGAGTCCAACAATAGCGATGAAGAAGATGACCTTGCATCAATTTTAAAAAATCTACAGGAAAAATTCAATGGCTCAGCAGATAGGACGATGAAAATAAAAATATTGAGTGTGGTACATAATTGGTCTTTTCGAAGAATCACAACTCACTTTCCAAACGCTACAAAGCATATGATTACTGTAGCTAAAAAACTTGCTTCAGAAAAAGGAATCTTAGAAGACCCAAATCCAAAAAGCCACCCATCGTTAGAAAAACATGTAACCGATGCAGTTTTAAATTTTTACGAATGTGATGAAAACAGTCAAATAATGCCTGGGAAAAAGGACTGCGTATCCGTAAAAATTGACGGGAAGAGGACACAAATGCAAAAACGGCTCATTCTAAGCAATTTAAAGGAGTTGCATACTCTTTTCAAACTCAGCCATCCGGACCTCAAATGCAGTTTTTCAAAATTTGCAACTTTACGACCACAATATTGCGGAACTCATCACAAAGCAGACTTTGGTTTGGAGGCAGAATTGCACTTTTTCCCAACTTCACACGGCAAAGGACCATGCGACGGCTTAGCTGGTACCTTAAAGAGGAATGCTGCAAGAGCTAGTCTTCAACGAATACATAATCCAATTCAAACACCAAAGGAATTATTTAACTGGGCTAACGAATGTTTACCAAATGTTGTGTGCCATTTCTCAACATCAAAAGACTATGAAGCTGAAGAAAATAAGATTAAACACCGTTTCGAAGCAGCTACATCAGTTAAAGGCACATTAAAATATCACTGCTTTATTCCTAATTCGAAACCGATATTAATGGCAAAAATATTTTCTTCTGCAGACATTACAGATTATGTATCAATAATGAAATGATTATTAATAAAATCAATACAAAAACTTAAAAAAAATATTTTGTTTATAGTTCTTTACAGTTTATCTCCATATAGAATTGTTTACAGTTTATTTCCTATAACAATTCGTACCTGCTTAAAGAATTTTTTCAACTGTGTAATTATGTGCTGCAGTTATACAGGTAGTTCAGCTAGTGTGGAACTAATTAATTTTTAAACTCATCAATATAAGAAAAAGTTCATAAAACGGTTTAATTATGTTAAAATTCATAATTTAAAAATAGAGATGATGCGGAACTAATTTAAAATGTGAATATTGTGTCACTTTTCTTGGAAAATTGATTCAAGGGTATTATGGTGCGTATGAGTAACATGAAGGACACCTGATAAATTAATTTTTTTTAAATTACTTCTGGAACATATCTGAAATATTTATTTTCGAAGAAGAATTTATTGTTTAATCGGAATTAAAAGTAAAAATGAAAAATTTGTGTGACGTATTCCTCTGTTTTTTTTTACTGAAAAATCGTGTGTATGTGTTTGGAGTGATGTGAAGGATAAATAAATTTTTTAAAAGTAGTTCCAACGACAATATCGTCCTGAAATTTTTGAGTTTTATGTACAATTTTATTACTAATTGAAATCAAAAATATTATATAAGAATATTTGTAGTATATTTTTTGAAAATTCATTCAATGTAAATATAGCACGCATGTGTTTGATGTGTTTTATGAGAAAAAAAAAATTTAAAAAATTTATAAAAATCGGTGCCATCATGAAAACTTTTATTTCTTAGTAAAATTTAAAACTGAATCTAAATAAAATATAAAAAATGAAAAATGTTGCGTACCGTTTTGAGATATCTTTTTCTTTTGAAATTTAACGGTTAAAATTTGTACTTAAATATAAACAATCTTAATTGTTTAAAAGTTCAACCAATTATCTTTAAAACGCAATAAATTTCAAGTTTCTACCTTTTATAGAACTTTGAAAATGTGTCTACAATGCCAATTCTCAAAACCCCATGGGCCCATATCTCCTAGGAAAAAAATTACAAAATTTTTTCCCGAGATACGGGTCTTCTTATTTTATGAAAGGAGCTCATAAAAAAAATTTCAGCCAAATCGGAGGTGATGAGGTCATTTTTTGCCAAAATCCGTCCGGTTTGTAAAAGAATGACCCATATACAGGATTTTTCAGTACAAAAAGAAAAGGAATGTCACATAAATTTTTCTTTTTTTCTTTTGATTTAAAATAATAAATATAATAAATAAATTGTATTTAAAAAATTAATATTTCCAGTGTGGTATTCCTTTTAGAAGTAATTAAAAAAAATTAATTAATCAGGCGTCCTTTACGTTACTCATACGTACCATAATACCATTAAATCAATTTTCTAAGAAAAACTATACAAAAATTTTTACTTTTTAATTTTGAATTGAGTTTAACATTAAATCTATATATATAAAAATGAATGTTGTCTGACTGTCTGTACTCGTTGGATTCAAAAAAAATACATCCAATCACCGTGGGAAATTATTACGTATATCCCCGGGAAGGTTTTTGCAAATTTTTATTAAAATCAGAGTTGCGGTTCTAGGTTCATTTAATTAGTAATATTTTGGTAAAAGTGTATTCAGTAATATAATTTCCAATATCAGTTAAAACAGTCTAGCAATCCTAGATTGTTAGATTGTGAGAAGTCAGTTTGGTTTTCACATTCGTACAGTGTGTGCTTTAGTTTAGTTTTGAGTAAATATATTAAGTGAAATGGAACAATTTATTTAATTCTACATAAAATATTAACATTATAAATTAGTTCCGCATCATCTCTTTTTTTAAATTACGAATTTTAACATAATTAAACCGTTTTGTGAACTTTTTTCTTATATTGAAGAATTAAAAAATTAATTAGTTCCACACTAGCTAAACTGCCTACATAACTTCAGCACATAGTTACATCTACCATTTTTGATAAGTTGATATTCTGCTACAGTTAGAAAAACACTCCCCACAAGTCAGAAATGTTATAAGAAATAAACTAAACGAACTATAGTAGAATCTCGCAAATTAGAATCACTTGGCTTTTTGGGTAGTTTGAATTTGTAAAAAGTTCAATTTTTTTGACTTTTTTAATTCGTATTATAAACTATCAAAAAATTAAAACTCTACATAAAAACTTTATTTACACCTGAAATCACTTATTTACAGCTGTGCCACTTGCTCTTACAAGAACGCAATGCTGTTGTCGTAAACATTCAAATTTAGAAAAACTGCATTACAGGTCTGGATGGTTGAGTTTGAAAAGAGTATGCAACTCCTTCAAATTGTTTAGGAGTTGCATACCGTCAATTTGTACTGATACGCAGATTTTTTTCCCTGGCATTACTTGAGTGATTTCTTCACATTCGCAAAAATTTTAAATTCAATTGGGTTCATGTGTTCCTAGCGATGGCTTTTTATATTTGGGTCTTCTAGGATTCATTTCTCTGAAGTAAGTTTTTTAACAACAGTAGTCATACATTTTGTAGCGTTTGAGAAGTAAGTCGTGACCCTTTCGGATAGACCAATTATGTATCACACCCAATATTTTTATTTTCATCCTCCTATCTGTTGTGCCATTAAACTTTTCCTGCAGATTTTTTAAAATTGATGCGAGTCATCTTCTTCATCGCTATTCTTAGAGTTATCCAGAGGAATATTAAAAATTTTAAATATGTGATTTATTTATTCAGTAAAAATACTTATGAGAATACTAAGGTCCAAAAAAGTTTCATTTTTATGTAGAATTTAATGATAAACTCAATTCAGAAATAAAGAGTAAAAATTTTTGTATCGTTTTCCTTCGAAAATTGATTTTATGGTACTATGATGCGTATGACTAACGTGAAGAACACCTGATTAATTCATTTTTTTTAATTACTTCTAAAAGGATTATCACAGTGGAAATATTTATTTTTTAAGTAGAATTTATATATTAATTTAAATCAAAAAAAAAAAAATTTGTGTGACATATTCCTTTTTTTTTTTGTACTGAAAAATCGTGTGTATGTGTTTGGTGTGATATGAAGAATAAATAAATTTTTAAAAGTACTTCTAATTACAATATCGTCCTGAAATTTTTGGGTTTTATATAGAATTTTATTACTAATCGCAATCAAAAATATTATATAAGAATATATGTAATATATTTTTTGAAAATTCATTCAATGGAAATATAGTACGCATGTGCTTGATGTGTTCTGCGGGAGAAAAAAAAATATTAAAATATTTCAAAAAATAATAGGTTCCTGAAAAATTTTATTTCGCAGTAAAATTTAAAACTGAATCTAAATCAAATATAAAAAATGAAAATTTGGGAACGTGTTTTTTGTTTAAATATAAACAATCGCAATAATTTAAATAATTTCTTAAAAGTCCAATCAATTACTTTTAAAATGCAGCGAATTTCAAGTTACTACCATTTATAGAGCCTGAGCCTGATTTAGCCATTTGAAAATGTGTCTACAATGCCAATGCTCAAAATCCCATGGGTCCATATCTCCTAGGAAAAAAATTACAAAATTTTTTCCCGAGATATGGGTCTTCTATTTTCATGAAAGGAGCTCATAAAAAAATTCTGCCAAATCGGAATCGGAAACCGTACGGCCAAAATCCGTACGGTTTGTTAAAGAATGACCCATATGCAAAATTTATAATGAAATATAAAAGTTAATTTTAAATTGTGAATTTTTAGAATACTTGGATTTACTCACACTTCAATTGCCTTATTCCAATTTATTATATAGCCACTGAGAGCAAATGTTTCTACGTGCACTATATGAACATTTCCTTTCTCAGTGCCAGCATGTATCCATTTACTTCCAACCGGTACATGAATACTAGTTAATCTAAAAACAAATTTAAAAAATGACAAAATTTTCACTTAGTAATAAAATGACTATACCTTTCTCTTTGGAATTTAAGGCTCTGTACAATATGAGGTGTTTTCTGGCGAATGTCCCATAAATGTAAGGTATCATCTGCGGTAACAGTAACAAGTGCACCTTTATTAATAATGAATTCGACTAAGATAACAGCACATGCCGATTCCCCTTCATGTTTAGCATGTGCATCAACGCCAGGTCTTCCAAGTCTAAAATAGTTCTTAGTTATTAATAATGAATATTCATTTTAAATTTTCTTACATTCGTAGGTAACCTGATTTATCACCAATTGCTATCAATTTTTGTACGGGATCAAAAGCAAATGCAGTAGGTGAATAAGGAAAACCATGTCGAAAAGTCTAAAAAATATTTATGCATAATGTTTTGTTAATGTATTTAACTATTTAAAGTTATTTTTTTCTAATTCTTCTTCTATATATATGTTACATATACCATTAACAAAAAAATGTTAATAGCCACTATTATTTTAATACTATTTTTAACCATTAAAATTGTACACTTATAAAATATACAAGTTTTCTATCTCGGAAAATACGGTTAAGATTTTGACTTTCAATTTTAATTACCAATCAAAATTAATCCTAAAGGACTTTATAAATTCTTAATTTTAAATTTAAGATCGTTTTATAAAAAGCACATAAATTTCACGAATCTTGTTATCAATACATTTATGCTTACAGTGTTTTTTCATTAACGGTTTTCGATTACAAGGGCAAAAACTAAACTAAGAATGCCTATCAGAGTCATATAAATATTGAATGAAAAAAAATTTTTTTCAATTTGAACACGAATGTTTTCTTTTTTTGGTTTCTACGGCTTATCGGTTATTTTTACCCAACTGGAAGCAAGTTATCAAAAGTACTGAGAGATATATAAGTAATCCTTTTAGCTCTATTCATACAAAATGTTTCATCTGAAATTCGTGTTCTGATCTTCTTTAGTACTTAACTAAACAACTTCCTTAAAAGAAAAGACGTCAACAAACTGATTTAAGTTCAATAATAACACAAAAACTATAGCAATAAATTTTACTAATATTTTATCATATTTTTCATCTCTAATTACATATATTTTGAATATATATTTTTAATTGTTTTTATAATTGACGTGCAGCGTTGTGGTCATACTTCATTATTATTTTTCTTTTGTTTTGACGTTTAGTAAACGTGAGTTTTGTTTATTTTTTTATTCTGAGTAAATATAGACATGATTTTTTATATCAAATTTACTTCCATTTATAAAAGCACGTTGCCCAAATGCAACATTTCATTTTCCGTCCCTTCCAAAAAACTTTGGTCCTGGATTGCAATCAACGTAGCAAACGACGTACGCAAATGCCACCAAACAAATCGCACTTCTTACCAATAGCTCTCCTTCCTTTCCAGGCTTTGTAGCAATACTCGCAAGTGTTACTCAAAAAATTGAACACTTCATGGACTTCATGCAAAATATGATGAATAGCTTGATGCAAAGCATGATACAAAAATAAAGTTTAATTGCAGAGTTGGTAAATCCCAAATGAATGCAATCACAATATCCCATTGGAATGCAAACGACTTAAGTCAACATGTACTGGAAGTAACTCGATTTCTGGTGAGTAACAACATCGATATACTGTTTATATCTGAAATACATGTAATCTTCAAAAACTGATTTTGAATTTATGGATATAAGTTTTATGATACTAAACATCCAGATGGTAAAGCATGTGACGGTTTTGTTGTACTTGTTAGAAACACAATACAACATTATGAAATCCAAAAGCATTGTCATGAATATCTACAGGCTACATCAATTTGCGTCTAACTAAAATCGTCGTTCCTCCTAAATTTCTTATTAAATCTTAATAATTCCGGAAATTTTTTAATGATCTCGGTCCTAACTTTCTAGTTGCTGAGGATTTCAATGCTAAACACACCTTTCGGGGTTCTAGACTGATATATCCAAGAGGTTGTCAACTGTATGCAGCACTTGGCAACAGCCTTAATGTTGTGTCCTCGGGTCACGTGAAACGTGAAAACATTGCTGTTAAATCTTCTTATGATTGATCCTCTGACCATTCTCCGGTTATTTTAACTCTGATAGAATTTAATACTAACTCAAAAGAGTGGAATAAGAAAACTCTTATAAACTGGAGGAATTATAGAAATATCATTAATGGGGAAATAAGCAACAATTCAAATTTTAGATCACCCAAAGAAATTGATAAAGCAGTTGATAACTTCACCAGACATTAAATAATGCTGTAATTAAAGCCTTTCAACCAAAAAGTTTAATCCAGTCAAATATAAGTTAACAATTGTCCGGCTTACAATTGTTATTTAGTTAATTTTTTGTGGACTTTGTTCAAAAATTAAAAAACCGAGGTTCGCTCACTGTGTAGCGCTTAAAAAAACTGATTTTGTATTTATTGATTTTTAAACGGCACGTACTTCAGCATAAGAATGCAAAAAAAGAAATATGATTTTACGCTGACGTAGTGTCTGGAAATTAATTACGCATCAATGTTTGCGTTGTTAACTTATAATATTTCAATCACACATTGATTATCTTATTTCCCGAAAACGACAAGCAGAGACGAGAATGGCAAAGACTTCGATTATCCACCTCAAAACAAAGATTCAAAGACTTCAAAAGATCTTAAAAAAGCCCTATCTGATGACAAAAATCGCGCTTTACAAGAATATATCGAGGCTCTTGGACCACTTAAAGAAAACAACTATTCTCTGTGGAAGGCAACGAAAAAATTTAAAACGCCAATAAAAATGATCTACCGCAATAAGCTGCACCCCAAAAATGAACAGCAAAATTGCGGAAAACCGTCAGCTTTCGTGCGTAAAATACGAATTAATGGCAATTAATTTCTTAAGCAAATTATGATTAGTGGTAAGCAACCCTATTTAGCATTGGTGGATTCGGTGGTGATATAGAACCATTCAATTTACAAATTGAGACGGTTGTGAAAATTGAGGATAATGTGTTGGACTATGATAAAGAAATATTTAATTACGAAAATACACGTGCCGTCTATGACACTGGACAGTTCAAATTAGAAAACAAAGTTAAAAGAATTAGTAAAATTAATAAACTTAGTCCAATAACGGAAGATGACGTATGTATGGATAGTGTAAATTCAGACTTTAAAGGAAAGGTGTTAGCACTGATGAATGAATTCCGAGAATGTTTCACTACAGGCATAAAAGGAATCGGCAAAAATTTAGAACAGGAGCAATAGCATCGTACAAAATTACTGGACATGAAAACAAAGTTAATTGGAAAACGTTTGGAAACTTTAGATGATACTAGAATTACTTTAGCATTAGTTACATTCTCTGAAATTAAAAACGCAAAATTCAAAAAGCCGAAAAAGAAAATCAAAAACCTGCGACAGAAATTAAAAGTGGAACCTGTGGAGCGAAATTTTGGTAATCGTAAACGTAGACATGATTCGGATGAGGAATTAGATGATAAAGATGATAAAAAATGGGCTATAAATAAAGCACGTAAATCAATTTGGAGCAGCTTAAAACTCAAGTTAAAACGGAAACAGATGAAGACGGTGAAGATGACACTATTCCCATCACTAAAGAAGAACTTCATCGACGACGATTAATTGCTGCTAATAACACCGATAGTAAACGAGTCTACGCTAAAACACGTTTCGACGAAACCAACGAAAAATGCACAAGGTGATTTAGTTCTGGCAGAACGAGAACCAGCATCCATTGATATGTCCCGTAAACTTGAGTGTCGATACAAAGGACCATTCGTAGTCACTGAAGTTCTCGATAATGACCGTTGTCGTCGAAGATCTACCAGGATCCGATCGAAAACAACGACACTACAAATCAGTCTATGCATTTGATCTCCTAAAACTATGGTGACAATTTTCGTACGACGAAGAAACTGATTCGGAGCGCGAGAACGCTTGACGTCAGGAATGACCGACTGCAAACGAATAACAGAAGCTCACAACTGGTCACCTTAAAAGTTGAAACAACATATGGTCACCCCAGATATGAATGACAGCGAATGTCAAAACGCGGGAGAATGTGATTAGCAACTAAATGTTGGTTGGCGTCAGTTGCGTTGCGTAGTTCACGTTTGTAGTATACTTTCAATTAAAAATTGTGTAAATAAAAATTAAATTAAAACCACATACATTCAAAACAGTTATAATTGTTAATAAAGTGAAAATACAGAAGTACCACAATGAACGAATCAGCACCTTGAATACAAACAGGACAAAGGAGCACTTAGCATAATTAAGTTGTCTCCATTTTTCCAGTCGATTCTAGAAATGTAGTTTGCACAAATAGAGGGATTTCTATAAGTGCATCGGATGCATGGATAACATGCCATCCTTGCATTATGCTTTGGCCACGCCACAGTTCACTGATGCGACAGTTAACCATAAAAAGAAAACGGTTCCATATCTAGAATCGAGAGTGATTACACTTGAAACTTCAGTCCAGCAGCTAATAGCTCTTCCGAGCCACACCATTCCTTTTTTGTTACATAGACTGAATTTTGGTTATTTCCAAGGGTGCAACCCAGCATTTAGACATTGTGAGATTGGAGTTCCATCGTTACAATTCCTTGGATATCACAATACTTCGGATGGGACAAAGCCTCCACAAAATCAGATAAAAGAAATACATGGTTACCAGGTAACCAGGCACACCTCTCAGGAAAAGTTCTTGAACCAATTTCGTAGAGGATTGCAACAATTAAAGCCTGTAGTTTGTTTTCTACTCACCAGAAGGAAGTGTTAGCTGATGTTGTTTTGTTGATTGGAGTTAGTGCCTGTTGGTACCTTTACTCCCTTTTTTTTGTGAACATCTTAGTTATGTTCACTGGGTCAATCTGTTGTCTTCATTTTTAATACTTTAAATTGTCCTTAAAGTATTAGACTTCTTAGGTCGGCGTACCTGCCCTTTGTTCGGTGATATCCTCTGGGCGTTAACATCTTTAAAGTTGGATTTCTGTGATTGTCCACCTTCTGAAATAGTTTCAATGCTTTGTCCTTGATGTATTTCTTTACGGTTTCTATTTTCAGATCCTTATGTATGTCCGTGTTCCTGATGTATGAAGGGATATTGAGTATACGTCTTAGTGCCAGATTTTGTGCTATTTGTAGCTGGGCTATGTTAGTTTTTGCTGCTTTTCCGTACGCCACGCATCCGTATAAGAGGTTGGGTCTTATTATCTGCTTGTAGATTAACATCTTGTTTTTGATGTTTAGTTTTTTCCTCATCATTGGTTGTAGTGATTTTAGCAGTCCGCTGCAAATCATTCTTTTTTCACGTATGTGAGGTTTCCAAGTAAATTTTTTGTC